CTTCAAAATGATTTTTACAAAATTAATTAATAACTTTTTAAAAAATAATATCTCTTATGTATTTAAAAACTCATTAAATGGTTATATTTTACAATTAAATTAAGAAATTGCACCTAATTTGTAGAATTAAAAGGAAATAATTATTGGTATTCATAATGGATAATCTTAATAAAATTTCATAATATTTTAAAATATGCTAAATTTCCATTTTAGTAATGCTTCAAGATTGATAAAAAGGAAAAAACTATAAAATAGAACTCTATCAACAAATATTGGGCACAAGAAGTATATTAAAATAGATTTACATTAAGGGTTAATATAGGTTAGTTTTTAAATTAATCAAGTATTACTCCAATAATTCTCATAAAAGGAAAGGGTTGTTTATAAAAAACTCTCTTAAACCTTGAATAATTGAAGTCTGGGTAAACCATAATATTAGATGTATCTAAATTTTAAATAATATTCTTTTACTGCAAAGGGGTGTTAAAAAAAGGATATCTTGTATTTTTAACCTAAATTTCTTTAAATCCATAATCTAAACAATACTTGTTTTTGATATCCCATAGACGGATATCTCCTACCAGAAGCTAATGTATTTCAAACAGACTGACAAGACTTAATAAGTATGACCATCTAATTAGGCTTTTTATTATCCTGTTTTGAGATCCCATAGAGTTATCATCACTACCAGAAGCTAATGTATTTCCATCAGGAGAGAAACAGACTGAGTAGACATAATGGGTATGACAATCTTAAAAACAAGCAATTTAGCTTCACTTAAATTAATTCCATTAATATATAAATTTTTTTTTTTTCAACTTTATTTTTTTCAATATTACCCCCAAAAACAGACTTGTTTTTAATTCTGATTTTTCAAAATATTTATTTCGATCAAAAACCTTCATTTTAAACAATACGTTTAAAGCATTAGATCCAATTATTATAAAAATGATTATCTATCATAGTGAGATCAACAAAGAATTTCAAAAATTTTTATTTCCTTGCCTCTTATGATATTTTTTTAAAAGAGTTATCTCATTTCCGAATGGATTTTAGTGGAATAATTAACAGAATTAATATCGTGTTCTTTTATGGTCTAGATCAAATGAGTGAATTAATATTTATTTAAAAAGTTACTAATTTTTTTTTTCAACAGATGATACATTCTCAATTTAATTATAATTCTCATAATATTTTTAATATCTTAATTATTTTCTTTTGATAACATTTCCATCATAGTGTTGAAATCTGAATATTAAAATCTTTCAATTAAAGTTATACTTGATATAAATCAGCTGCAATAAAGAACTTTTATACTTATTATGAGACAAGTTAAAAACTTCTAAGCCCCATATTTAACATCATCATGAAAAAATTCATTTTGCTATTGGTCTATTTTTTTTCATTTTATTTAAAAATCCTAGCTACTTATATTAAACTTACATCATTACATTTTTACTCATTGTTCTTGCCAATCTAATTGTGTACTCTAATAAATCATACAGAAAACGATCAATATCCCTAAGTATCTAAGTTTTCGAGTTCTTTCAAATGTGATTAATAATAACCTCGCAATAAAAGTCATAATTTTTTAGATTATCTACTATTAATGTATCAAAAACAACTATTCTTTCCTTTTAAATTTTAAATTTGTTCTAATTTGGTAGAATTGCATTAGTTTCAAATATTCTTTAAAATTTTTTGTATAGTCCATCTAATTCTTAAGTGATTTAAAATTATATATGAATCAAATTATTCCAAACTTCAAAAGCAATTTAATAGTAATCAATTATTTCCAAGTCTTATAGATCGTCTGGAGTATAGTTCTTAAAATTATTCAAGTTTTTTTTCACCATTTTGTTATTTTTTTTATTATTAACATCTTCTTTTTTAATTTCATTTATTAACCCCATTAGATATATTTTCTATTGCGATTTATACATCTGAATTATGTATTTGATGATGAAGAACTCCATAACATTTTTTGTAAAATTCTTCCTCTGTTGCTTTAACTTTCATTTAGGGCAATGCAGAAACTATTATTTCCTTTATATAAGGAATTCCCAAAACTAATTTAGATTAACCTACTTCATCATACCGTCATACTTTTCAAAGCTCCATGATTTTTGTAAATTTATTTTCGAGCTTCTTGTAACTCCTTGTTTGTTAATGTAATGAAATCATCTACCTTCAAAAATAACAAATGCCTTCTATTTATTTTCAATTTAAAATAGTCCCTGATTTCAACTTTGACTTATCAAATTTAACAAGCGATGACTTCAATTTGTTACCAACTCAGTTCAAACTTTTTGATATCCATAGGGTTTTACGGATAAACTTACCCTTCTGATATATCAAAAATCAACATTGAAATACTTTAAATAGTAAATCTCTTAAAATATTCTTATTTTTAAACTTAGTCAAAATTGAGAAGCTAGATTTCTTTAAATTAGTTTTTATCTTCTGGTGCTAACCATTAGGCATAATTATTACTAGTAAAAATGTCGTTTCTCTTAATATGAGTTTAATAAATATAAAATTTTTCTAAAAATCGGAATTTTTTTTTTACAAAATATCTTTTCATTCTTTAAATTAGAAATCTTCAAACCCATAATCATCTTAATGATTGATTCCTCTACTGCTTAAAAAACACGTTTTTTTAAAAAAGGTCTAAAATATAAACAGGTTTATTATATAATCCCAATTTTTTGATTATATCATGTAATTTCCAAATAAACTCTTCAAATTTCTTGGCTCTTTTACTTTTGCATACTTCAGCTAGCCCTTGAATTAATAATACTTTTTGCTTGTTATCTAATAATAATTCATTCTCTTCTCTGACTTTATCATGAAATTAATATAAATTCATCAAACTACTGATTTCATTTTTATCTTTATCTTGAGTTTTTTATGGCACGTAGATGGACTTAACATTTTATTGTGCTGCTTCTTTCAAAATTTTCCTTTTTCTGATTTCGAGTAGATATATTACAAATACTCCTCTCAAAATTTAACATCATTCCCCATACTATTGAGTTATTTCTTCATTTTAATTATTTCCCCCTCAACTGTCAACAAATTATTTCTGATGTAATTAACGGCATTAGGTATCAATCTTAATTATATCTACATAATTTAATCTATTTCTACCAATAATCATTCTCGTTTTTTTGAGATTTGCCTTATTAGATATTGATACTTACAAATCAATTCTCTTCAGCGTAATCAACACATTTTCACTGCAATTCTATCATGTTGAAAGTACCAATCTTTCTACAAAATTTTCCTCTACAGACTTATTCAATTTTTATTTTTTTATACGTATAACTCTTTAATCTTTTTCTTAAACCTATTTTTAAAATAGAGTTTTTTAACAAAATCGAGTAGCTGTTACTGCGAATTCCTTATTGCATATCAAATTTCCATTCATAAGTATTTTACTAATCTATAGATAATTTACCCTTTTGATTTGATTTATCATCATTTTCTTCATAGTTATCTAGGAGGTATTTTTTTAGTTAATTAGATACTCTAGATCAAGCTAAATTTTAAGAATACCAATTTAGACTTTTTAACTTTTCTGTTTTCTCAGCCATTAGCTTATAGAAAAAGTCAACAATATTTATTGATTAAATATTATTTTTATCTGTTTAATTTTCAAAATGCAAGATGCTAAATTAAATTCTTGAAAAGTATTAATTAAGTGATTCAGTTATAATTTTGATTATAAAGTCTTTAGAAAGATACCCAATTGTGTTTATGAAGCGGAAATATGTAAATATGCATTACAAATAAATGTAGTTTCTTCACGAGTAATACTAGATGATGATGTTGTTTACTTTAAATATAGATGAAGAGTGTTTGAATAATATTATTTATGGCAACTTAAATCAAATTTATCAATATTTCAACCTTAGATATATTAAATTTGATTTTATATCACTATCAAACTATGAAAGTCGCTTAGTTATTTCTTCAGTTTATAAATTATAACGTAATTAAACGAGTATCCGCTCAAATCCAAGTAGAGTTTATTTCAAATGAATAAAATAAGAAAAAATACAATAATTAAATTGTAAAGCCTTTTAACAAAAGAAGATAAAACTCAATCAAAAACTATATTAGATATATTGTTACTTTATTTATTTTTAACTACAAATTATAATATATTTTTTAGAAATTAAAACTTTTTCGATTTTATTCAAATAAAATGATTTTAAGATTGGTCGATTAAGTATATATTTAAAAATATTTTTCTTTTGAAAATGAAAATAAATAGTGTTAATTATTTAAACATATTATATGATATTTTCAATTGATAATATTTCCATATTAATTAATTTTTATTCTAAGAAGAGTTTGGCTTGAAAAATATTTCTGATCATTCAAACAACATTTGTTGAAAAAGTATCATAATTTCATAACTTACCTAATTATTACAAAAAATTTTCCTACTCCTATTCTTAATGCTTTAGAAAATTATATTATTTTTTTCTTTCTATAATCGGAATCAAAAATAGATTAAAATGCAGCTTTAATATTAGAGCTCAAAATAATTTTGCGCTTTAATTTAAGAACATCTACTTTAAGAAAGATTGCTTAATCAAAAAAATTCTAATGCAACCTATTCGTTAAATAGTGTATTATGTAATTTTTTTTGAAGTTATTTAGGGAAATAGCTAACAATAACTTACATGCATTAACCTTTATCTTCATAAGCTTTATTGTTCCTTTTTATTAGAATAATTGCATAGTTGAAACATTAAATTTCATCGGCATATTTCTGTTATTTTAGGATTGAAAATGGGAAACTATTATACTATTATACTTTAGTATGGCTCCTATGTAATATTTATAATTTTTAAATGCCTTTAATGTTATGTTTTTTATAGTAGAGAGGATTGATTTAGATGGCTTTTTGGTAGGCAACAAGAAGCTTCTTCGTACTTTTTTAAATTACATAAAGATAAAGAGAATTTAATTAGGTTATTGAAATTATAACCTTTATTAGAATATGCTTAGTCATTTTTTGGATTAATACTTAATGCGATATCTATAAAAGTAAGAGCATCCAAAAATTTGCCTTTGTTATTTATTTTGTACTGAAACAACCTTCAAGATATTCTAGCTCCAGCAAGATGATAATATTAAAAATAAATACCTGTAGTATTGTATGCATTATCACCAGAATGATTGACTTATAAGGCACAGTAGGTTGTTTAATATAAAAATAAAATAATGTAAGTTTAATGCGTAATTTTTTTCCTAAGAAATAAAGGAATTATTTAAAACAATCTTTTCCTTTATTCTGATTTTAATGAGCCTATAAATTATTAATTTTCATTCCCTGTTAAATTAGTTTAGTCTTCATTAATAATATAATCACTTACCATCTTAAAGAGTAAACATAAAAATTTATTTTTAGTAGAATTAAATTTTAGAAGAATTAAGCTGCAATTGGAATAAAATTTTACTTCCCTAAGTCCCCTTCCCAGAATAATATTAGCAAAAGAAGTTGATTTCACTATTAAATTTAGATGTTTCCTCTTAAAATCAAATACTAATAGATCTTTCAACAACAATAAATTCTTCTCACAAATTTTTATCTACATGCTTAGATTTTAAATCATGGCTAAATCAAAAAAAATTTTTTTTAGACATAAGATTTAAAAACGAATTCTATTGTTTATAGTTATAAGAGAAAAATATCAAACTTTTGAGATTAAAAATATGCAATAATGTTTATTTATTTATTAATCTGAAATCAATTCGAAAGTTTACGAAAATTTTCTCTTTAACATAAATTGTTACTTATCAAAACATGTTAATATTATATATTGATATCAATAAAAATAATTGATTTTTTCTCTTTACTAAGTTATTTAATCTGTATTAATTTTTTAAATAAATATGAGAAAGAATTGTAATATCATCATAGATATTGATATTTTTCTATGACATGTTTGATAATTTGAAATAAAAAGATAGATTTTTTAATTTTTTGATTAAGGTAGTTTTTTACATTTTATTTAAATAAAATATATAGACATTTAACTATTGATATTAAATAATAAATAGAAGATATGTTATCATTTCAATATTAAGATTATAAGCATTAAAAGAGTTAAAACCGACTAAATAAAAATATAGATAAAATAGTCATTTCTTATATTCATAATCATGCACGATAAATCCTTACAAATGATTAAAATAGTATCTTTTTTATTATTCAAGTTATCGTTTCTATTTCTCTTGCAAGTAATTACGGTAGATTTTTTGTATTTATGCAAATATATCTATAAATAAATTAGAAGCCAAAACGGTACAAAACATAATAATATGAATCCACCCAATCATCATAAAATTATCTTAACTAAACTCAAAACTATAAATTAAAAATGTTCCAGTTGTGATCATAATTAACAATTCTCTACAAATTAATTTAGAAAGCTCAAATGGAGATAGTAATGGCTGAAACTTGACCAAATAAATCAAATGCAGAAATGATAACATAGAAAGCAAAATTGATTATGCTTCTGGATAGTTAATGAATTGCACTATAATTAAAATATAAAACAATGTTCTATAAATTTAAAATGACCTGCATTAAGCTGCCCAAAATTATGTTTTAGATTCACAATGAAAATATTTCCATTTCCTTAAATCTTTTATTTGTGCAGAAGTAATTGAAAGTAGTGGAAAAGTAGCCATAAGGATAAATAATAACCCAAGTATTGCATTAACGCTGTTTAAGATTTCAAATGAATTATTAAATTTATAATTTGGAAATTGCAATAATGTACTGAACAGAAGCTAATGCAAAATTGCTTAATAAACTTTATAAATTCCTAAAGAAAAATATTCAATTTTTAATTTTAAGCATTTTTTCTAAATTTTTTCTTAAAAAAAATCTATAAGTTTTAAGAGTTGAACATTATTCTTTTTACGATTAGAAAGTGTAAAAACGAAATATTAAACACTTTTAGACACTATGAGAGAATTAAGAAAATATGTTATTAATGATGCAATCGCAGAAAAATAACAACTTTTAGCATTAACCAAATAACACTCATTTAAAGCATTTTTTGAGATTTTTCTATTTGATTTTTAAGTGATTTGATTTGGAGAAGTACCACCATTTAATTTTACCAATAATTAATCTACCTAAAAATAATTCATGATTGGTTATAATGACACTTTAGTATAAGTGTTCAAAAATTCAATTAAATGAGGTGGAAATTGATATTACATATACTTAATATACGATAAGGACTATAATAAATCTAATAAGTTAAAGAACATAATTGCATTACCTGATAGCAAAGCTAAACTTGATATACTTACCATAGAATACATCATAACATCATTAATTTATACAACAGAAGTTAATTATTATTTTGTGGTCTCAGGTAACACAAAAGGAGTTCCAAGAATGATCTTCTTTTAATATATCTATAAGTCTTAATGAAATTTATTCTGAATTATAGACTTCTCTATATCAATTTATAGAATAGGATCTTAGATTGGTTGAATAAACTCGATTTAAATTTAATATTTAGGATAGCCAAAGTAAATTGTTATATTATCAATGCTATTGATTGTTAAGTGATACTTTGTTTAAGGAGAAATAGTGAATAACAGAATATCTTCAATTGCTAGTTCTGTTTATATTTTAACTTATTAAGTGAAAGTTAATTCTAATAATTAAATTGAACTAGCTTTATCAGATAAAATATTGAGATTGAAGTCAGGAGATTCTATATATGTGCATAAACTTAATGAGTCTTCTTAATTTATACATTGATATGAATCCTCCATATTACAGAATGAAGAACATCCATCTCCTCCAAAAGTATTTCCATCATCACACTCTTCATATTAATTGGCTAGAAGTCCATTTCCACATTAATTAATACATAAATTATTAATAAGCAATTGATTTTCTCCACATCTTAAAGCAGTATATTATTGAAACTCTGTAATTGGATAATCAATATTTTGATTATTTTGATCAGAGTTTATTTACAAACATTTTTAAGTTAAGATATCTAAAAAGTAAAATTTATCATCACACATTGCACATTAATGCTATTAACATTCTACACAACCTTAAGAACATTAAAATTCACAATTATAGCATCCATCATATGGTTGATCATT